TCGATTTTTCACAACTCGATCGACGTATATTCTTAGGGTCGATTGTATATTGTTTCGCGTTCTGTTATTCTTCTAGAATCTAACTGACTTATCGATCTGACTTTTTCGATAAAGAAAGTCGAACTCAAGAAAAACTTGCGAACATTGGCCTGTTGATTTAATTATCGCGAAACATTGCGTACTATATATATATAATCCATATATATACTATATATAATCCACTTACTTATCTTGGACGCTCCACCAATTATTTGTAACAAATTTCGTTTGATATACTCGTACGTAGAAAGAGAGCGTGAGTATAACCTTCGTTGAAAGTTCCCACACAGGCGTAATATATGCGTCAAATGTATGCGGAGGATAATATAAAGCATGCAGGAAGAAACGTACGAACGGTTCTAAGCTTTGGATACACGTCCAATCAAGCGATATACGGGCCAGGTGGTATCGTAGAACCGCCATATTTTCTATCTCTTCGCACGAGACCTCTTTTATTTTTCTCCAATCTTTTCTCGTACCTTTCCTTCTCGTCGCTTTACAAAAACCCGAAATAATAATTAAAAGGCATGAGAAATTAAAAAGAAAAAGAAAGAAAAATCCAATCGATGTTTTCAGTTGGTTCTCGGCAGATACTCGCCCTGCTCCTGCCCGATACAAGACCCGATTAAAGATCTCTTATTTTTCATAACCTTTTCATAGCGTGTCTCTTGGTCATGTATATATACTCGCGCGCATTTAGAATCAGGCAGAGAGATCCCTCTCCTCCGTCTAAAAACCGTCCTCTGGGGGGGGTGGGGGGAGTTCAGCACGCGTCGACGCGTGGCCATACGTATGGAAAAAAATAAAATAAAAGAAAAAGGAGGGTACACTCGAGGAGGAGAAAAGCTTCAATATCGACTTCAGAGCGGATGACGCGTTAAAGGATCCTCATCGAATCGTAATTTTGTAGGATTAATACATACCGAACAAATCGAGCGGGCTATAAAGGCTATCCAGGGTATTTAGGTGCTCGGCCAAGTTGGATATCAATGATATCGGTCATTTCATTTCGGAAAAACTTCCTTGCCAAGTGCTTCGATGTTTGTTAGCTCTGAGGACGCCTCCTTCTCTTCTTCTTCTCCTCCTCGCCTCCTCCTCGATGTGAACCCCTTTGTAGCTGCATTTACCAGCTGGCGCGCTCCCTTGTTTTCACCTTTGTTCCGTACCCGCGAGAGCGAGAAAAAGCTATGAGATAATCAATTTCTAATTCTTTTTTACCTCAATACATTATCGTTATCGGTAAAATGTTTTGCGAAAGAAACAAATTTTGAAAGATGTAAAAAATTTCTTGATAAAGGGGTACGTCGCGAAAATATTTTCCTATATATTACTTAATTATCGTCGACTCGTTAGAGGGTTCCTTGTGAGTTTCTTTTACAAGCGTAAAGTAAGGACTTTTCACTTGGGAAAATGAAGACGTGAGTGCCACGATCGACTTCGTGAAATCGAGCAGGTGATGAACGATCTCGAAACCGAGGGTCGAGCGAGCATTCGAAACGAAGGGTCGATGAGTCTATCGAATAAAGAGATCTTACCGAGTGTTGTTGGCCGAAGAAAAATCGTATATTCATGCACGACCTGCATGAATTTTCGTCCGTTGCCTTTATTCGATCTACAACATGTCTCTTTAAAACTATACGTATTCGAAAAGGAACAACGTACTCGTATATAAATATAGTTATATTCGGAAATGATTATACATTATGTACGTGAATGCACCTTGTATATTCTATGCCCAAGGAACGTTCGCAACATGACAGAAATCAGCTCGAAATAGTAAACGTATATGGCCTTATTTGGCCGCATAGCGATGCATTAAGCAGAGAGGGAGAGAGAGAGAGAGAGCATATGGTATCTTCGCGAAAGCCGAAGCAACGTCTGCGATGCAACGTCTGCGATGCAACAGATGGTGCGGCGCGTTGTGTTTGCGTGGCTCGGCTCGGCTCGGCTCGTATTGCACCCCCGCCTCTTCTCTTCGTGCCATCTCTCTCTCTCTCTCTCTCTCATTGTTCCTGCCCAACAACTCTAATCCGCCTCGACTCGTGCCGCGTATTTCACGGTGCGTAAGTAGAAGAAGAAGGAGCGAGAAAGGAGGTGGAAAGAAAAGAAGAAAAAAAAAGAAGAAAGAGAAAAAATATGACTCGGCCAGCGGGCGCACCCGGTAGTAATTTGCGGTGGTGCGTGCGCGAGATTTGCAAGAATATTACACCCTTTTCTTCGGCGGTCCTATCAGCCGTCGCACCGCCCTTTCATTATTCCGTTCAACGACTTCCGCGTTGTCGCGGATCTACGAGCACCTGTCATCGGCTAGACGATTCCAATTGATTCCTTTTCAGATTTATGGAGAGACTCCTTTATGGGCTTCCATTTTCTCCTCCGTCTGACGATTGAGAAGAGAAGTTTAAACGTACATGTAGACGCGTATCTATGTATTACGTTCTTCCTTTTTTTTTTTTTTTGGTGAAAAAACATCGCAGGTGGATTGAACTTGCGGTCTTTCCACCGTCTATTAATTTATCGCATTATCCTTCGTATTCATGCCGGTATTCTCACGCATCATCAATTTAAATAGTCACAGGAAAGCGAGGAATGTTTTACTAGCCGAGGCTCGGCTAGAAATGTATACGTACGTACACGCATACGCACGAAGATGTTAGAACGATCTAAGGGTGCACCTGCAAGAGCCTGCATGTAATTATAAACGTATCATTTAAAACGATCCTACTACTATGGATCTCTGTTTGTATTACGTATACATTGTGTGAGATGGAATCGCGTTTTTCGGCGAGTATGCTCTGTTTTAGAGAGAGAGAGAGAGAGAGAGAGAGAGAGAGAGAGAGAGAGAGAGAGAGAAAGAGCAAAGCCTCCGATACCATCAAATATTTCTATTCGAATAAGAGAGTCCCTTGTATACTGTACATGCGTACTTGCTACGGAGCTATGCAAAAGTCGAAAATACGAGAAACTACAAGGGCTTTTGCATTTTCTTTCGCTCCCAAAATTTTCCTTGCCACTTTAAATATGTATCAATCGAAGTGTTCGCCGTTACGAAACGTATCAAACTTATTTTAACGTTTTACGATTTTTCTTCTTCCCTCAAAGTTATTCAAGCGTAAACAGGTTTGATTCGTTTCTTATTGCGCGTCTCTCTCTCTCTCTCTCTCTCTCTCTCTCATATTTGGCTTAACGCATAAATGTAACGCCAAAGCAATCACTTTTTGGAAGGAAAGTTTACGGAAGCTCGAGGATGCGACTCGTTCGCTTTCTTCACCGCCGTATCCTTTCTTCCCCAATTTGCATATCGATTGAGCTATCGTCGTAAAGAACAAGTATGGCGTAATTTCGTATTTGATACGAATCAATACGATCGGTATTGCAAATTAAAAGATTATAATATAACTACCTGTTTCTGCATAACGATGGCATTCCTCCATAATACGTACATGCGCTTGCCTACTTGCGCGTAGCTTTTTCTCGAAGAAAATATCAACGAATTTTTTCCACCCGTTCGTCGAACCTAAATTCTTTATTATCTCGAAGCATCTCTAAGCGCACGTGTTAGAATTACTCTATCTTCTCTCTATTGTCGATTTATCGGACAACTACAGGTGGATTTTAACCGTTAAACGCATTAGCACGATCGAAAGCAAAGACGTTACCTATCGTATTCGCGTATTAGTCCTCTTCCAAGTGAGGGTAGCGTTTCTCACGCACGTGTTTCCAAAGAGGAGCAAAATTGTCCGGCTTTCGTTATAGTTCCTTCCTCTCGTGCACCTGCGAATCCCACGCCTTCGTAGCATCTCCAACTTCCGCTTTAGACTTACCAGTTATTATCATACCAAACGAAACAAAAAGTAGTGTAACTTTTCGTGTAACTGGTAAAACTGATGTAAAAATGTCCGTCTAATTCATTCGTGTTTCGAACATTGCTTCTCCCACTCCCCCTTCTTCTCCCGCTCTCTCCCCTTTCAATTCACATTTAAAACAGTGAGAACCATCGATTGCTCCACGCTCTTAATTCACCAACAATCTTAATCCCAGAAACTTATATAGACGCACATATATTACGTACTTAAGTACGTATATACCTATTTCGCTCGAAATTCTTCGATATTTACCGTTTCTTAAATGCGTCCGGCTTGCGTTCCATTTACCGAGAAAGAGTAACGTTTTTATTTTTAAATCAGGCCCGATTTGGGATAAACCGCATCAATCGGCGTTTATGGTAATAAAAATCTCGAATGCGAACCGCTTCATTGGGATTACTGTTCTCTTAAATAAAATAAATGACCGTCGAAATAAACTGTAATGTACTTCTGTAATATATCCTATCGAAACCACTTTTTGCCAAAAATTACGAACGTGTACTACTTTCTCTCTTTGCATTCTTCTTTAAAGGTTACTTTTCTTAGCACGTGTATAATCTAAATCGTTCGTCTCTTTCGCAGGTACATGACTTGTTGCAAATAGTTGACTTACGTTTGAATTGCTTTCAAATATATTGCAATTTCAACCGCACTTGTACGTATATATATATATATATATATATATGTGTGTGTGTGTGTGTGTGTTTCCTTTTACTTCTCTATACTTATATCCCTAAACTTATATCCCTGTCGTTATAAAATCGTAACGCAATACTCGTTTATGTACTATCATTAGTATGAATATTGAAAACCATCTCGATTGATACCTGACTCGATCAGAATAATCGATCTGATATGTAACTTTGGTTAAATAATCAATGATAAAACTTTAGGAAAAATGGATATAAAAAATATGAAACATGTATTCGGATATAATAGAAAGACGAGAAACATATAAGAAAACATTTTATTCAATCAATATCTTCTTTTAGCAATAATAAACATATTTTTGGTTTATCAACTAATGCAATTTTTCCATTCGTACTTGCACTTATTCTTTCATCTCGTGAAATTTGCTCATCTACCGTCTATTTCCTTTTCTTCTTTTTTCTTTTTTTTTCATATTTTCTCGCTCTCAAACATACACGCGTGCATGCATACATATTCTACACGACAGAATGATATACTTATTTATCTATCGGTTTGATTTCTCTTATGTTTATCTTCTTATCGAGTAACTGTAAACGATCATTCGCATATAAAGAACGTGTATCAACACACGTTTGAATTCTCCTTAAAGATAAAAAAGGAAAAGAAGAAATTTCGAAGCAATGACGACGATACCGTACCCATTATCATAGATTCGCTCATAAACAAGCAATGCCCGAGCACTTTACTCGGTTTCGACTTTAAGTCGATCCGATCGTAAATATACTCTTAATATACTAATTATACTAGCGCGTAAGAAGGACCGAAGGCTTTGATTTTTGTTTCGGGTTTTTCAAAGTACTTTCAAAGTACAAATAACCATCTCCAAACCATCTCCTTTATTTTCTTTAAAAAAACCCGAAGATTACCAATCAGCCGGGTCCAGTTTATACTATCTTTGGTCCTCTAGCCGCTATGATTTTTCTCTTATACAACGAATTTCGAAATGTGAAGCTTTTCGCGTTTCGATTTTTTTTTATATTTTCTACAATCGATTTCAGAGAATTATTCGCATAGTGTGCGTGTGCGTATGTGTGTGTGTGCGTCTGTGTGTGTGTGTATATATGTCTGTCTGTGTGTGTGTGTGTAGGTATCCGTTTTCGTAAAGAAATTCAAAAGTACTTACATATATAGAAATTTTCAAATGTACCATACATATACAGCAGAAATGTACGAGATGCAGATTATAGTGAAACGTGGACACAAGAGGAAAAAATGTACAGATGCGTAAAAAGTTAGTATCGTTAGTTAAAATTCACGTATTTGTACGAATAATTGTGCATCGATCGTTAAAAGTACATTTGCACGCTTATATACCTACTTTATATATGTATTCTTTTTTTATACATTCTCGGTACTATACAATCGACCATACGAAAGTTCTTCTTTCCATTTTTATTTCGCCGTCAAATTTTGCACTTGTTATCACCAATTCGCAAATATATATATGTGTGTGTGTGTGTGTGTGTGTGTGTTTGTGTGTGTGTGTTTGTGTACCTACAACGAAAATCTATGAGATCGTTGCATAATTTCTGTCGTATATCAGAATTGTTACGTCAAAATGATAAAACTTTTTTCGCGTTCGTAGAAATTACGTCAGAAATGATGAAACGATCTAATGTCTGTTTTATTCTCGCTGCTTCCAAAATGGAATTATTTACCGGTACAAAAAAATCTCTCTAACCGTACGACTTTGGCTTTGATAGACTATGACAAGTAATAGATAAAGAGCGCTCTATGTTATTAATAATATTCATTTGTATTAATCACTTACACGATCTTTCAAGAACATACTTACATATAATGGGAATAAAAAAGAAAACGATCGTTCAAATGAAATATTTAAAATATATGAAAAATAATAACTAATGAGATTTTATAAAATGAAATCATAATAATATTTTTATCTCGATACCGTTAAACGTTTTATTTTGGAATATCTATGCGTCCAAATAGATATTTATTTATATGAATTATTAGTAGCAAATAAATAATTTTCTGTTATATGCGATGGCAACAGGAAAATCATCATTTAGGTATTTACGTGTATCGGATAATGCGGAGAAATTAATTAAATGTAGGATAAGTTGTTTAATTCTTATTTAAAATTCATAAAATTTGTCAAAATCAGGCAAAATGCATTAATCAGGGCATTGGACGTTCTTGATGCCATCTGCGTACACATCTCTAGATGCGTGTTATATTTGTATAATAAATTTTCGCTTAAGCATAAAATACATATTTTATATATATATATATATATATATATATATATATATATGTATATATACATATATATAACCGCACGCACGCACGCACCACGCACACATACAAATGAATCAACGAAACGAGTGGACGGTTCATGTTATTTCATTCATGAATAATCTTTGCTACATTATAATATAATTTTCTACAAATAGTATATATAAATTTGTATTTTATTCAAACTTTCTTTATATATGTATAATATTTCGATAGATATACCGACACAAATAAAGTCATGAGTTCATTATGCCGTTTACAATTTTACACGAATTATCGTCAAGACAGTAAATACGTATAAATTAATAGAACAAACAAAGCAACATTCGGGAATGGAACACCGATTCGGTAACAACGTTCTTTTCTAAAACTCCTTATTTCTATTTTTCTTCAGATATTCGTTATTAGATAGATTCGTTCGCAATGAGTAAAGACATTTATAACGTTCCGATTAATAGAAAAATGTCTTCTTCCGCTATAGCTTTGCCGTTTTAAAAGAGCGCAAACACTAATATACAGTAATTGTTTAAAAATTCAATATAATGGCAAATTTTGTGTGTGAAAGTTGAATTCGAAGCGAGTAAGCGAAAGAGAGAGAGAGAGAGAGAGAGAGAGAGAGAGAGAGAGAGAGAGAGAAAGCTACTTTACTTACTATCGCGTGTGTTCGTTTCCCTCGATGAGTTTGCGCTGATAGAGAAGAGACAAGCACGAAAAAACACAAAGAGTCATAGACGCGTGATCCATGGTCTCCCTATTCAAAATCAAACGCGACGTCAAAGAAGAATACATTAGTATTCGCGTGTTATTTCGAGCCGATCTAGCGTCCATCCGTCCCGTCTAGTTGTACACGCGAATCTGCTTTTACGACGATTTCGTTGTTCGGGTTTCACGATAATACGCTTCCATTTTTGTTCTTGGTCCGTTTGTTTGTTCTTTTTCTTCTTTGTTTCACATTAACCCGTGTATTTATTATGTAATACATACGAGTAGTCTTGCGAGAAAATACCGTTTAAGAGACAGCATATGTTGTCTCTTCGTCACGAGAATAATCAACGTTAATGCGTCGATCGATACGAAAGAAGCGCAACGACGAACGAATGACAGAAAATTTGTGCCATTGTTTTTAGGATAATAACATTTTTACTTTAGGGACCTTTGTTTTCTTTCGAGCTTTTTAATATATTATGTTCACCGAATACTTTTTATTAGAGGCTCGTTGACGCGTGCATAGATATCTACGCGAAGAAATTAAAGCGTTGGACGATCGATAAAACATCGCGCGCGCTCTCTCTCTCTCTCTCTCTCTCTCCCCCCACCCTTTTCTCATTTCTCTCTTAATTTCTTCTCTTTTCCAAAAAATTGTCGTATATTTAATGCGATCAAAGGATTGGATATATTTAAACTTTACTCACCAACGTTCGAGAGATAGCCGAAAACTTTTCTCCGTCTTCCAAGCATCTAAAGTACATATTCGAAATATATATATACTGTTGGACACGATAATGAACGAAAGAATGAAATTCTTTCTTGTAAATAATCGTAATCAATCGTATCTCCGTTTAGCAGTAGCAATTCGTCGTGGACTATTTACAAGGCAGAGATTCGAAAGGTGTGAGACTAAATAAGAAGTGTGGTCGAATCATAGTGCGACGCTTGGCGCGCGCGTTCGGTGATCCTGCATGGAATCGTGCGTACACCTGCAAGAAGGAAAGGGCGGTCGGTGAGACGAATCTCAGCTGCTGCTGCTGTTGCTGCTGCTGCTGCTGCTGCTGCTGCTACCCGGAACCGGTATCGTTCTGTATGGGGCTGTGCTGCCGCTGGCGGTGGTACCAGAGAGCGGCTGTACTGGTGGTTGTATCGTTGCTTGTGACGACGGCGGTGGTGGTGGTGGTGGTGGCGGTGGTGGTGGTGGTGATGGCGTGCACCGAGGTTGCCGGGTGTTGTTACGTTGAATGGCACTTTGTTCGCCGACACCAGTCGACGCAACCTGAAGCGAGCGATAATCTAACGCCGGCGCCGCTGGATGCTGACCTTCTCGATGCCTCCGAAGATCGACCTTTCTTTGAAAGGCCTTGTCGCAAAGGCCGCATTGGAATGGCTTGTAGCCCGTGTGCTTGCGCATATGAGTGATCAGATTGCTGCTCTGGGAAAACGCTTTACCGCATACCACGCATTTATGGGGCTTCTCACCTAGAACACGCGTTTAATATCGTTATTACTAACTTCTTCCTTAATTCTTCCGTAATTCTTCGTAACCGTCGAGCACAAGAGTATCGTCAATACTAATGTAGATATTTAAATAGATTTCTCGAATCTACTCGACGATCTTTCCTTTTCTCATTTTTAATGACTAATCCGACGGATAATCGTGAGAGAGGGATCGCAATCGGAATTGCAAACTCATACTTTGCTCATCGTTCGGCGATCATAAATTCGATTATCGACGGACGAAGACGGGACGCGGTTTGGAATAATGAAGCAAGGTTAATCAAACGCAGCTGTATAAACTAATAAATCGTACGGTTGGGAGCGCGTCGATGGCGCAACTCGTAAGATGTTGCTTTGCGTCAATGCGATGAGTAAAGATGCTAATTCGTTTGAGACGATCTTTTTCTCGATATCGAGTCGAGTCGAAAGATTCCATTGTACGAGGAAGGTACGACGACCTGCCGATTATATCTACTAATGTTGATTCACTTTTAAAACCGTCGCGATGAATCGATTAATCTTTATTCTTTTTTAATCGGGACGTTTACGAGTACAGAGAGTAAACGAGACCGGAGTATCAATATTCTAGAAAGGGTTCAACATGTACGTCGTAAGTTTTTTTTAATCTTTCGATACGGTCAACGTTGAAACGTATGTAATTAAGTCGATTGATTTTTCCTTTATAATTGCCATAATAACGCTTAGGATGCACTCGGTCGAAGGTATAGGAATAAGAGTTGGCGACAATGTCCATCTCAAGGATGGAAATTCCCCTACGAAATAACAAGGTTATTTCCAGACGATCGATATAATTCGATGAAAAAAAAAAAGAAAAAAAAAAAAAGAAAAAAAAAAAAGAAAAAAGAGGAAAGAGAAAACGTCGTCTTCCTCCGCTCATACATAAGAAATAGAGAGGATTGATCGCGCAAGCCAATGCCTCTCTCTCTTTCTCTCGAAATGTGTGTCCAAGGTTTTCCCTCTAACATCGATAGCCACGAACGAACCGACGAAACACAATAAACGATAGGGTGATATTAAAAAGTGTGCTTGCTAGCTTTGTCGCAATCATTTCGATGAATCTTGACGCACATGTATGGAGGATACTTGGGCTTACATATGATATATGTATCGGCATGTAGAAAAAGGAGGCTTGAGACGAGTCGCACGAGTTAATGACAATAAAAGAGAGAGAGAGAGAGAGAGAGAGAGAGAGAGAGAGAGAGAGGGAGGAGAGTGAGAGGAGAAAGAAGAGGGTCGAACGGACAACTCGCAAGCCTTTTTCTAAAAGTCCTTCGGTCGGACGTCTAACGTCGATCGTGGGGTTGCGATAATAAAGGTAAACAGCTGTTCCTCCGTTACGTCGCCATCGAAATTCCGAGCAAACAGTTTTGCGATTATAAAGCGACGATAAAAACGTGTATCCCCGACGACGAGAACGACGATGGCAGTGGTGTTACACCGTCGTCGGAAGGCGTCGCCGTTAAGATTCTATCGAAAAGGAATTAATTCTACCTCGACTCCACTTGCCACCACCACCGCCGCCTCCACCACCATCGACAACAACAACATCACTTTGTACGCCTCGCTAACTCGTGCCGATAGTTCAAGTGCCTGCACTTTCAGTAAAACGTTTATTTCATTGGCGTTTAAGACGAACCGAGAGAGAGAGAGAGAGAGAGAGAGAGAGAGAGAGAGAGGGAGAGAGAAACAACAGAATTATTTATTAGATAGAGTATATTTGCGTGCGCGCGCGTGTGACCGCGAGAGGGACACTTTCTTTGATATCACACATACGTACACATACATAGCGCGAAGTAAATTTTCCACGTAAATTGCCCGAAGTTACGTGCCGTATAACGAGCGATATCGGCGAATAATATTCTCTGGAGAACACGGCCCCTTTTGCTCGGGGAATGAAAAGTATACTAAAACGGTAGAAAGATATGGTGCCCGTTAGGAAATACACGAGGATAAACTTATAACTCTGGGTTTACGTACGACGTGACGTGCTCGTTGTATTTCACGATGGGCTTCTACGATAAGTCTTTTGTTTTTGATATCAAGACGATTCTTCATATCCGTCGTAAATTTTGTCGCTCCTATCGTTCATCTCGTCTTATTTACGATAAAAATTTTAACAAATTAATATTATTCTCTTTATACTCGGCCGTCTTTTCTTTTATTTTCAAATTCGTTGAAATGCGAAAAGATTCGGACAAACGAAATATGTAAGTAGTCGTCACGCTCCCCTATTCGTTTGACATATGTGTAGCGTTTACATACGTCGATCGATGACAAATCGATATCAGGCCGATTACACATTCTCTCTCATCTTCATCTGTCCTTTTCGCTCTTACCGCGTCTCTTTTTTAATTCAGCGTATCGGCGATCATCGCATTATCGGATATACCATTACAATTATTATCTTTCGCATGACAGAACGAAGAATGGTAGAGTCCGGGAGGACTATTGAATATTGTTGTCGCACTGTTCCGCCACTTCGTTCCTGTCATCGTTCCTATCTACTCGCTTGCGCGAAGAAAAATACAATTATAGTAATTGCCGTCTAGGATTCGATCACCATAACTTTGTTGAGTCAAGGCAAAAGGGAAGGAACGAAGTAAGGAATAAAGAAAAGAGAAATACGATACAATAGAAATTGAAGCTTTCCGTCGTGCGCTTCTATTTTCGAAGAGTGGAAGAAAGGTTTACGAGATAAATTGGACGTAACGCGTGCCACAACTCGGGACCTTGTTTTTGCAATCGATTTTTAGCGAGGGAACCTCTCGTAGAATCAAAGTAAGTAAAGAAAACGTAGATAGACATAGAATGATACGTAGACGATGGCTAGAGGCGGGCGCTCGGAAAAAATTACAAATATCGAATTTATTAAGGAGAACTCGCCGGCATTTTTTTGAATAATCATGAAAGAATGGCCTCGCCTCGTTTAGGTCCAGAAGGAAGGAAAGTATTTGTCGAGTGTGTCAGCGAAGGAGACGCGCGCATACGTACGCGCGAACCGGTATATCTATCGATCCGTCCCGACTCTCATTACCAGCCCCTTACCGACCGACTTAAATATTTACCGACCGAAGCGTTCACTTGGTGGCGGCCGATTTTAATGATAGGAGAGGTAGAATCGTATCTGCGACCACGCGCGTGTACGCCTCTGGGCGTGTGTGTGTCTGTGCGTGCGTGAGTCTGTGCGCGCGAGTTCGCGCCTATTCCTCGGAGCATGCGAGAAGCGGCGATGCGAGAGGCGAGAGCGAGCGAGAGGAAACGAACTGGGATGACCGTCGGGGGTGGTACTCGCTTAATTATGCAAAACTCGCCTAACGAACTTGATGTAATAACGCGATGTGTCGTATCAACGACGATGGTGAAAGAGAGTCGGCAAATCGATCCGCCTTGTCCGGTTATTGCTCGATAGAGATCGCTTAGAAAAGACGATGCGACTTTTTTGTTTTACGGGAAATAGGGATCTCTCGCGATAGTAAAAATCGATCGTGCCTAGTGTGACTTGCCTTCCCTACCTTCTTCTACCTATTTTCAGATATGAGACGAGAATCTTTAATATCGTAATACGTCCTGTCCCTTTGATGCATCGTTCCCGATAATGATCGCGTTTACACCGCACCTCCAAAGTTTCTCATCATTTATCTTGCTCGTATTTATACGCGCCTCCTATGCATATTCGATAGTAAAATAATTATTGTTACCGTAACAGAATTTATGCTACCAATCATTCTCATTGCTCGTTTATACTTTTGCAGATTTTCAATAAGAGAAAATGAGGACGGGAACGTGCCGATATACACGATAATTGTTTCTGCATTATCGAGACGTTCTCGTTCGGTTCTCTAACGAGAATTATTTGACAGGCTAGCGTGACAACGTAATGGAACATTAATGCGCGCGCTCATTCGATCAAACTATTTTCCGGAAATGTACACCCCTTTTCACTTACTTTTCTTTTCTCCTCTTTTTCTTTTTCATTTCTTCCACTTTGCGAGGAAAAATATATAGATATGTCATTCTCGATCGTGCACATTTGTGAAATTTATTATTAATCCAAATCGTCGAATACGTTGGCTAACGTAATTCCTCGAAATTGCAGTAGATAAAGAACGCGGATATATATATATATATACATATACATATATATATATATATATACATATATATATATATACATATATATATATTCCATCGATGGTTACGTTCATTGTTTAGGCACGATCGCGAACAGTTACTTAGTCCCGCTTATACTTCGCGGAGGAATTTTTAAGAAGAGGAAGCAGAAGAAAAAAAGGAAGAAAGAAAGAAAAGAAAAGAAAAGAGAAAATAGCTCGCAGAAGGGATATCAATTTCCGACCGACAAAGATCGGTGAGCGATCGCTCGTACATGACGATCCATTATTGATCGTTCGCAATGGCCGCAAAAATGTCATGTTGTACGCAAAAGTAACTTCATAATACGACGAATGCATCGTGCACCGATCATCGAGACATTCCTGGAATTTACTTAAGACGAGGTTTTATCTCGAATCATATGGTTTCTCGGGGAAAATTGTACGTTTTGCGCACTTCCGTACGAATAATATTACCCATAATTCTATATTTCGCCAAAGGAACGTTATATATAGGAACGTTTCTATTTGATCGTCGCTAAAATATTACAACTGTAATGTCGAAAATGACAATCACGTGCGATCGATTCGTGATCAGATTTTAGCGACAATTCAGGATTAAAATGCGAAGGATTAACGGTTTTGTGGACGTTCGTTGCAATTCATTTTTCATACCACAGTAGCGAAGGTACTCGCTCGACAGCTCGTAGATATCATTTCTATTTTTCAGCATAGATCGTACCAGCCTGTCACGTATTCCACGAGAATTATTTATAGAGGACGGTCTTGCAAGGGAGGGAAAACTCCGCGGAGTGTCTACGAATGGATGCGCTGAAAACAATATACCGCCTCGGAAAGAATTGCAATTACACAGCGCAAAACCTCGAGGGGTTATTATCACGCCATTCTTCTCCACGGAGGGTTCGTCCCTTAGGACTCTCTTGCTACGTCGAGTCTATCGAACGAAGTGCATATAAAAGTGGCCGTATCGGTTAGCGAATATAGCGATTGTCCGGGAATATAAAGAGGATCTATTCTGGCATTAACTTTTACGCGATACGAAAAATATACTTGGTATTTTATGAAGTTGCACAAAAGCTTTGATTTATCGGTGCCCGCTTCTTATGTCGGAAAGAAAGAAAAGCCATCGTTCGTTCGCTCGGTTGATGGTTGTTTTAAAATGACGGATAGCAGTGGAAAGGGGTGTATGAAAAAGAAAAGAAAAAATCTTCTTCTCTGCTCGATCTTCTTTTTTTTTTCTTTATTTCGTAGCATAGCGATCGGAAATGGGGACGTAGAGGAGAATATGATGGACAAAAGAAAAAACGTAATCTTCTAGGCGGAACGAAGAAAAGAACAAGTATTTACGTTAATAAAATGAATATGAATATGAATGTGAGCGAATGTGACGAAACGTGTTAATAGATTATTCGTAGAAATGAAGAAAATAGAACGAATCGCGATCTCTTGGCGGGAACGATAAACGAATTAATTTCAAAACAAGATATCTTTCGAATTTTCTTGTCCTTAAAATATACATACTTTGATCGATATTTGAATCGAGGATAGACCTTGTACGGTTAGAATGTACGCGTTGCCATACGACGACGATATCAATGTAATTATCGTTCGCACATCGTTCGTACGTATGGCATATGCATTACGAAGGAAGGAATATTTTTCCGCTCGTACGAACGATACGTCGGTATCGTCGTAAACGTTTAAAAATTTTTTTAAAAAGAAACGACAAGTATTAAGAGTAAGAAAGAACTAAGGATAGAAAACATTGGATACGCGCATTTTCAAAGTTTTATCAAAACGATAGTTATGTAAATCATATGGAACGTAAATCATAACGTACCGTAACGTATTGTACTCGTACATAACGCAACACTTACTTACATACTCGGTTATGTATACACGTAGATATACATGTACGCATGTAGGCCCGTTAATTACCCGCATTTTTAGTTTTAGGAGCATTTATTGGCCGAGACACCTTAGACGAACGTTAGGAACGTTAGAATAAAATTTACAAGACGAGATTGCGTGTCGCAATATTACAATATCACAATAGGTCTATGTAATAATAAACAATAGCGATCGATAATAAACAATAGCGATCATCACCTTCCTTCGATTGGAATAGTATAAGAATAGATAAGAGCCACGATCCGTTCAATTCGTTCTCCATCGTTTCATTTAGATCGCCATTATTCTTCGCTATTTGCGTTTGCTGAGAGAGGACTTTGGATCGGTTAGAGATCGCGTGAAAATAGAATTAAGCTCGGCATTAATCGTCCGTCCTCTCGCATTTAGCTACTTTACCGGTTAGAAACGTTCCCGCGCGGAAACGATGAAAGCAAAGGACGAGGGGTCCTCCCCACCTATTAGTAATTAGCACGCAACACCACCTTATTTCCCCTCGTGGCTCGTGCTACGGTGGCGCGTGTCGTGCCGGAAACTCACTTAGTGCGCGGCAAACAGACCGTTTCTCATCGTACAAGCGCTCCTTCCCGTTCGTTCTTCTCTCAGGAGAAAATGTATTATTCGCGCAGCTGATTAAATCGACACGTTAAACGATAATCGACCTTATTTTTTACATATTTCGAAAGAGAAGGCGATAATGAGGAAGCAAATTATCGAAGATTCCATTGCGCGACCGTTCGATAAATAAACAAAAGGTTTGCCGAATCGAAACGACATGGACGAATCTCATGGGAGTTTCGTTTGGGTCGCGTCAGCTGTTGAGCGGACGTCTCAGACATCGGACGTCATACTCGCATCAATAAAGACATGTGTCCGATTCGTATATAACCGTTATTAGGATACCGCGCGATGCATGACACACGCGCGATCCTCCCTGTGCCTTTACGCGCGTTACGATACCTACGATATATTATATACCTAGCTTTTCCCTCTCTTCCCGCGCGCACAGGAAGTTAGTAGACGCGTTATCCTCTGGCCGCGCGACATCAAACTTCCTTCCTAGCTCGTTCCCGGAAGGAAGAGATTTCGGGAACCCTGTTACGCTTGTATAGCTTGTACACGATCGTAACGACGATCGATGTCCCATTATTATTATTAAGTAAAGGAAAAAAGGAGTGTCGTCGTTACGATTCAATATGAATATGAATCGTGTTATTCTGCATTATCTCGTATAAGATAAGGAATTTTAAGTTTCTTAAAATGGGGGATACTTTGGCGTTACCGTGTATTCTCCTATCCAATGATAGTTAGTTGCGTGCTACGTCGGCGATGCTCCGTTACTTTATCCGTTCGAATTAAGTGGATTAAGTAGAAATTATGGCCCGATATATCACGGAAGCTTAAACGTTATTCAAAAGATACAAATCTAATAGTACGACGTCGAAGGAGTACGTCGGAAGTGCCAACTCCTGTTGGCAGGAAAGTAGCAGACCGTTTGAATTAACGGCGTTACCGTGGTTGCAGTTTTTAACCATAGGCGTTTACGCTTACGCTAGTACCTAGTAATATCCTTCGGAGGGGACAGCTCGTGGCATAAGGGATCATTCTTTGATTAGATACGAGTCGCGATTCTCGTATCACTTTTTTTTTTGCCTTAGAGAGATTTTTTTGTACGTTCGATGCTGATACTTTCCTTTCTCTTATTTTCTTTTCTTCTTCATATTTTTTCATAGGGGGTTCTTTTTTTTTTTTTTCATTAAAAAAGTATCGACCCGCCGACCCATCGACAACAACGCACGTTCCGTGCGTGATTCGTTCACGTGCTACGACAAACGTAAAGGAGGCCATGCTGCGGACACGCGGGCTACGATGCGACGATCGCGAATTTAAACGTCCAATTATGTACATCGATACTCGTTCCTCGCACTCGTCAACGTACACTCGTTGGCGATGCTACATGGAATGTAGCATCAAAAAGTTTCTTAAGCCTACATACGTATCCCTAATGCGATATATAGAAATATAATGCGTAATCGAGCATTAATAAATGATTAAACAACGACGCGTTCTACCTCGCTTACCGTCCAAGTCTGGGGTCATACTCGAGAGACTATGGTAATATGAAAAGTCTCGTTAGAAAGAAATTAGGAAGTCTAATGGGAAAGAAAAGAAGATGGGAAATGTATAAAAAGGGTCGCAGTCACAGGGTTGGATCATCCCACTTTCCATATAAAGAGAACAACTATCGACTTTACATACTCGACATTACGTATTTGCTATTATACGTCGTATGCGTGGATTCGCAACGTGGATCCGCCAACGAGAGAGACTAGAAGTACAATGGTAATGTACTCTCGCGCTTGACGGCGAACGCGACGGCTAACGATGTATTCGCTCCTTCGTTTCGGCGTTAACGTTCGCGAAACGACGTAACGGCTTAACGACGCCGAACGCAAATGCCCAATGTTTCTTCTTCCTCCTCTTCCACTCTTTTTCCTTTTCCCTTTTACCCCTTTTTCCTTTTATTCGGGCTGCAATGTTCGGCCGAGTAAACGCACGCGGCTCACCGTCTACCCAATTCCATTTGCGCGATAACGCGCACGAAACGGATCATTTCACTATTCGTTGCGGTGCGATGCGACGCGGTACAAAGCGAGGCTCCTTTCACTCTTTCGCCGGATCTTTTATCAAAACGAAATTCACAAATTTTTTTTTAATTCCAATTAATAATAACAATTAAAGGACAATCTTTCATTCGTTTGTGATTCGTTTACGTTTTTATATAATTTGCGCGCGGATCGATTAAAAGCGTTACTTTTTTCAATCGAATCATTAATCGAGACGAACGTACCGCATAAAAAGGAAGAGGACTAAAAATTAGTCCTATAAAGACTACGGAATTATATCTACTCCGGTAATATTGGAAAATAAACGATAAAGAGTATCCTTTTTCTCATTTCTTCCTTAGGGTCGTGAAACGCACGAACTTATGTTGAAACATTTCGTCGAACGTACGGCAACAATAGGAACACTCTGAATAATGTAACATAGTGGCAACAAGCGGGCTTCGTAAATAATTCGTAAACCGCTCTAGCGACTCGATCGTCTTGAACTTTGTCGTTGGGCTCGTGTCTACGACGCGCTGGGTACTTTGGATATCCCGAAAACAATGGAGCGATAAAAAGAGCGAAAATGGAGAAGCTCGTGCGATCGAACTCGAACGGTAACCAAGAACGGAGAATAGTTTGCCTTGTCGCTTTTCTCTTGTTACGAACTTGTTGGAATTATTAAATACGATGTGTGCGTGTGCGTTTATGTGTCTGTATGCGCGCTCGTGTGTTCGCCGCGCGCCTGTATGCACAAGCAAGTAAATATGCATCGAACAAAGTGGCAAGCTTTCGCAATGTTTTTATCCTACGATAGAAAAAGCTTTCCGTCTTTGATGTATATTAATTGAAAAATTATCCGTGACTCTTATCGGTAGATAAGTTTTCCTCTATAACGTTAATGCGTAATCGTCCATATTATGCACCTTCATTATTTATTCGTAATATAAATGGAATGTTGATTTTCATTCATTTCTCGAACCACTCTGGAACGTTAATCAATTTACTAGCTTCTATATGCGGATGCACACGCATCGGTATATAGAATACTCACCGGTGTGAATATATGTGTGTTTCTTCATGTCCGATTTTTGATGAAACCTCTTGCCGCAATATTGACAGGGGTAGGGTCTCGTGTCGGAGTGAATTAGAAGGTGAGTGCTGAGCGTGCTCGACCGTTTGAATGCCTTCCCGCATTGTTTGCACTGTAACAAGGATTTCGTGGTTTCTCGGGTTAATACTCGATTCTAAAAGTGTGACGTAAAACTTTTCTTTTTCTCTTCTTCATTTTTACACACTCTCATAACCATAATCTTCTACATATATCAATTATTATTTATAAACGGAAATAGGTATTATTTCCTAAAAGGGATTAATAGAAAAATCTATGGCTTTGCATAACTGGGACAGGTGCCTTTGACACTTGTGACTCGGCTTACTTATTAAGCCAGAGAGAACGGGAACATTTGCGTGCCGAAATAACCATGCAATTATACTTTTGTCGATTCCATCCCCTTATTGTTCTTATTTCAATTCAAGAAGAAATTAAGTGTCCGGACAGAATGAATTTCCGTTCTCTTTGTACTCTATTTCCTTCATTGCCACTTGTCGGATATCCGACAAATCCATTTTTTTGCATATATAGAGAAACCCAGTTTTATTTACACGTATGTATCTGCATATGCGTATGCACGTTTATACGTCTTGCTCGAAGAATAAAGCTTACATTAATTATGTTAATTTCGTCAAATCTTCCTTCTCTTTCACTTTTGCTCCTTCCCGCTTCTCCCGGTGTATTCGTTCCTTCGGTAAAAAGAAAAAAAAAAAAAAAAAGATGGGACGAACGAACTTGCAGTAGAGTAAACGCGATAGAGTAAACGTAAGTAAAAACTTTTGAGATTGTAAAATATAAAACGATCGAGTACAAGAAGGGAAGAAGAGAAAGAGAAGGAAGGAGGCACCTTCTAGAGGATCGGCCGCGCCACGCCGGGACGTCCGACGCACCTGTGTGTTCATTTTATCTTCCTCGACTCATTGTAGCGAAGGCGCCAGTCGTCACAATGCTACGCGCAACACGCGTGTCTCTTTCCGGACAATATATGTAAGTGACTAGGTATATGTAGGTTTGTGAGTGGCTGGATGGAATCGTACGTGATCGTAACCAACTTGAAATATAACTTCTGTATTCGCGTGCGTATCCTTTTGCGTTTCCAAATTCTCCTTTTTCTACAAGCTTTATTTCATTTTTTTTCCATTCAATGCTCGACGAAAAAAAACGAATTTATGGATTGCCCTTTTAAAAATTCAACTTCCGAAACATCCGATATTTCGCTCCGATATCTATCGAACGTTAACCGCGTTTACGTTTCCCAGTAAAGCCGCGTCATTGGTTCAGCCCCTTTTGATCGTCCACCGCGCAAATACATTCTTCCCGCTTGGACGCGATTCCTTTCCTCCATCGTCGGATAATGCTCGAGTGAAACACCAAAACCCGTTCTCTCGCCTGTTCCCGTGGGACGGGAGCGTTGTCGAACGTGAAATGACTCGTGAAAGGGGCCGGAGGCAGGGGGATGCCCCGATCTCGATCGTTGCTTTCTCATATGTGTGTCTCGGCGAAAGGTAGTAAATGAAAAGAAAAAATAAAAAGAAAAGAAAGAAAAGGAAAGAAACACGAAATATAAAAGAAAAAGTCGATAAAGCCAAGTTCGATGAAAAAAAACATCCGAGTCTCGTCTTTGCTATTCACGTCCTTTAAAAGCCATTGTTTCTATCCTACAAATCCCCGAATCGCTTTCCGATTTATTACAATATCCATTTGCTTCTCCGTAATAATCACAAATCATTGACAACTTTTTTGTTGTCTTTGTCGATTTCTTAAAGATTATTAACGTTCACATTAACTTTCTTTTGATTTTCTCCTTTCAATCGTAATCGCAAAACAATGGCAATTAGAATGTGGAATGATAACGGAAAAGCGTACGGTATCGATAACGGTTGGACTGTTTTTTTCTTCTTTCGGAAGAAAAGGAAGGAAATAAATACTCCATTGCGACACCGCGGAGAGGAGAAACGTCCCGTTTGTAGATCAGCGGCAAAGCTAGCGGGGAGAGGGGAACAGGATTAGAGAGACAGAGAGGGAGAGGGAGAGGGAGAGGGAGAGGGAGAGGGAGAGGGAGAGGGAGAGGGAGAGAGAGAGAGAGAGAGAGTGAGAAAGGAGGAAGGACGAAGGAGGTAAGGGAGATCGTTAATAAGCACCGCGGCACTTCGTTCAAGAGTCGCAAAGGAAGCGATGGATTGTGGGAATGAAAGCGGGTAGGGAGTGGAGCACGCCATTGTAGTCACACGACACGAAAGTGTTCACTTCCGGTGGCGCTTCGAGACAAAAGGGAGACGTCCGCGAGCGTTACGAGATGCTGCTGCTGCTGCTGCTGCTGCTGTCGTTGCTGGTGCTCTGCTGTTGTTGCTACTATTTGATCGAGACTTTCGCCAACGATTGACATCGATACCTCTTTCGTCTGGAATTTCGATTTTAATTTCATTTCTTTTTCTTTCATTTTTTATCCCTTCTTCGTAGGATACGTGGACTAATGTGGTCTCTCTTTCAATTTCGACTTTGATCTTTTGTTCCGCAGAGTTAACAATTTTCTTAATCCAATTTCCATACGATGAAGAGCGGCAAATGAGTTTATTCGGAAACAGCACCCTTTTGTCAAGCGATAAGCGAGGTCGCGTTTCGTTCGCGAACCCGGTTGATCGGGAAAGGCCATCACACGGGTCGAGTTTGGAAAAGTAAAATCAGTCCTCCGAAATAAAAACAACGTGACGCGTCTGGCCCGCATATCCTAATATGTCCGCATTACAGTTACGCGTCGGACGTAAAACCACTGTCGAGAGAGTTCGTGAGCTCACATCGAATCGTGCGTAATTACGACGTAGCCTCTTGCCGATCACCGATACGTACGTTCCTACGTATGTGTATATATATATATATATATATATATATATATATATATATATATCTATATACGTACGACGTACTTACACGTCAAAACATTTGACCCGTTTACTCGGCACCGACTCCTGGGGGGGTACTTATATACTTTCGCAGGAATTTCAGATCGCGTGACTCCTGAAATCGGCGTAATCAAAGACACGTAGTTTCTTCTTTCGCCACAAACGAAATCGCGGATTTCGAATAAGATGAGAAAGAGAAATAGAGGACGGAAGGAAGGAGAATTTTGGTAATTTTCTTCTTCCTATTTTCTCGTTAATCATAGATTTGCCTGTGTTTATCTTAAAAACTGTTAAAAAGTACATAATCACCGTTAGTGTAGACGTTTTTGTTCTTGCATTGCAATTAATTTTTCATTTTCGTGCAAAAGTGATCGATTATAGGACACGTTTTGTGCCCACTTGGAAAGATGCCTTTGACAGAAGGGAGCTCACGCGCACGGGAGAAAATTTATTCGCGCGGCTTCGCAAATTGACCGTAAAAAGAATCAGGTACGGCGATTAACCTCGGCAAATCGGCGTTGCGACGGGAAGTCTTTATTTTTTTGCGGAGAACGCTCGACGTGGAAGATCGACGGAGAGAGAGAGAGAGAGAGAGAGAGAGAGAGAGCGGTTACACTCGTACATACATATGTAATGCTACGCCGAAGGTCTTGGATCTTTGATCGTCGAGTTCCGCAGTTGCTCTCGCGGAGAATCATGTGCCGCGTCGGATGGAAATCCAAGTTACTTTTTATGTTCGCGCGAAAGAAGAGCGCGCCGATAAAAGTGCCCCGGTCGAGCTCGTAAAATCGACTTCGTACGGTAAACCCACGCACGAGCCACCTAAAGGTGCACATTCGCTACAGAGGAAGAGGGAAGAGAGAGAGAGAGAGAGAGAGAGAGAGAACGCGCGTCTCTTTGTGCGTGTATACGCGTGCGCGCGCGCTTGTGTCGTGGAAGGTAACTTCGAGATTTCCAGGACCGATACCACTCGACTTCCTCGAAGGCCTATCGCCGATCTTTGCCGTTCGACGATTTGCTCTTCTCAGCGACTACGACGTTCATGTCGTTCGATCCGGAAAAAGTTAGGACATTTCGAAAATCAAACCCTGTTTGTCCTCATAATCGTCTACAACAATATACCTCAAAGTGTATCCCTTTCTAATCGAGATGTGACTTTGAAAAGTAACCCACATATTTGAGTCACGTACATTTGTAGCTTTTTAGTCTATACTTATTTAGTAATTGGTTTAATGAGCTTTTCTTTTGTTACATAAAAAAAGGCATAAAAAGAGAAAACGATTAATTACCTGAAAGCTTCTTTCGGACGACGATGGTGGAGTGAGGGGTGAATGATGAATTTGCCTGTTGATTATAGAAGTCGCCAAAGGATTTCTAGAAGACGGTGCTTTCGTTTCTCTGGCCTCTCTTTCGCAAACTGATCCAGGTGACCAGATTTCATTTTTTCTGGTGATATTCGATGAGACGTCGTTTGGTTTTGTGCTAAGATTCAGAGGTACTTCTTCCTCTAAAACACGTGATGAAAATTGAGATTAGACGTAACCTTAACGTTACGATTAGCATACCGCGAGTATCCAAATCTTCCCTCCCTCCCTCCCTCCCTCTCCCTCTCTCTCTCTCTCTCTCTCTCTCTCTCTCTCTCTCTCTCTCTCCGTAACTTAAATGTTTAAAATCGTTACCAAAAAGAGCGCGCATTCGTTAGTAAAAATAGAATTATTACTTGATTACTACGCGTATACGAGTTTACGTGATAGTGCAATCATTTACCAAAGAGTATCGTCCTTAACGAGTCACCAACAAGCGCGAAATTTGCCGTGCTTCGCATCGCATTTCCTCTTCTTCGTATTTACGTATAAGGAAAAAGTAGTAAGAGAGTATCGGTCGTTTATTCTTATCGAGTTGGATACTTAATTATTTGCTATTTTTCGCAGAGACACTGTAAACACGTTGCTACGTCAAGCGCGTTTTCTTCAAGAATTTTCAAAACGATCGCCACCGAAATGTGCTATCGAAATTGTATGGATTCTACTATGAATGAATCAAAATAGATAGATAGATGAATAGATAGATAGATAGATAGATAGAGAGAGATAGAGAGTGAGAGAGAGAGAGAGAGAGAGAGAGAGAGGGAGAGAGCAAAGAGAAAGAACGCAAAAGAATTTAATTAGCCTGATTCGTGAAGGTACTTGTAGTTCGACAAGATTGAATTCTGCCGAAATGTTGACTTGGCTGTAATAGCAAAAAGAAGTATTCTATTTTTTATGCGATAAAACTGGCTCGAGTGAGACCGTTTAGCGACCTAACATAAAGCGTAATAACGCTTCGTCAGCTTGAAGAGCATTATCGAAAATAATTGGTGACTTGTAAGAACCTCGTCTATGTACCTACTTAAATGCGTTCGATGAAAAATGACGCTTTTAACGGTAGCAGCTGTGCGATTAGCCTTTGTTTTAGCCTCTTTTGCCAATCGTGTACGACCATTCGTCGCCATTTACGAGCTTACGTTTGTTACGGTATTGTCCTACTATATATCGTCTCGTTATCCGATTCCTCGTAATCACGCGACGATAGGTTGAACGATAGTTCGTCGTGACGTCAAAACTCTTAATTATTCCTATTTGAAACGGCCGTAACAAAATTTCAAACGAAAAGGAAAAACAGAAAAAGAAAAACATACATTACGAAATTTATGATTACGAATTATTATGGAAACATCAGTTGGCACTGGTATATATAATATTTGTTGAAAAGGCAAACGAATAATCAATAAACAATTGGCAAATAATAGAATGAATTGTAGTCTCTCACCGATTGCAGCTTTTTCCGCGGCGCATCTTGGCGAACCGGGTTTGACCGGGCTAAGAGGTTCCGGATGGATGGGCGAACAATTGGCGACCGGTGTCGTCTGCTGAGCTGGAATTCTTAACGGCGGTAGAAGGGAATGCGGCAACAGAAAGCCTACGTTTCGGGCCCACCAAGTGCTCCCGGACGTCGCGTAACCGCTGTACATCAGACCGCAACGCATCTCTAAAATAAAAATATCCTCTAAATCGTGAGAAATGTTCAGTAACTAACATGTCATAGTCCGAAAAATCTCTTATTACTTTATAAACCGATCTACTCGTGGAAAAAGAAAACGGAGGGAGAAGGAGAGGGAGGGAGAGGGAGGGAGAGGGAGGGAGAGGGAGGGAAAGGGAGAGGGAGAGGGAGAGGGAGAGAGAGAGAGAGAGAGAGAGAGAGAGAGAGAGAGAGAGAGAGAAAAGGGGTTCTTACCTCGCGCAGCTACGTTCGCGGCATGGGGTAAATTTTGTAGTCGTAGATCCGAACCATATCCGGACACGAGAGTAAAGGCGCTGAAACGATCCGGAACAGGTACGCAGAAGCTAGAGGGAAGATTCGTAGAGGCAACGCTGCTCGCGCTACTGCCCGGAGCGCCTGGGCTCCAAGGAGAGGGTGGTAACGTCACATTGGGGCTACTGGGAGGCGATAGGGTGGCCGGGGGTGATAGAGCTCCCACCGGAACTCCTACAGGATCGCTGTGAAGTTCCGGTTTCATGTGCCAAGTTCGCGGTACCGCTTCTGAAATTTCACATGAATGCGATCAATTTTCTGCTAAAATGAAAATCCAAATTTTTCACTTCTCTCCTTAAAAGACGATTACCTGGCAAAGCTGGCCTGCAATTAATATTACCTCTTTAAACCGTCCGTAGTGTTTTTTATCGCAAACTGTAATTTCGGTCGATATTCCTACAAGTACTTATCTATTATATAATTGCATGCGACGAACGAGGATGATCTATCGAGTTGTTTCGTATTATGCGATCGTGCTCGCATTTATTTTACCTCTACCTCATTGCCGATGATCTCTATGATTCCTCAACCTTCGACCATTTTTACTACTTTTACTACTCTTTTATACTTGCGGTAATGTCCGCCATTCACGCAGCTTTTATAATGGCTCGCGCATGAGCCACATTTACTGCCTAGAGATAGGAAAAGGAGCGATTTTAACGCTTTTTCCTATGGAAAAACTAATTAAAACGATATAAAATGTGCAATAGCGACTGGAAAACGAGCAGAGCTCTTTCTTTAGACCGATGATCGCCTCTTCGTGGCGATCAACTTTGATATTAACAAGATATTTACCTATATACTTGTTACTTGCTACTTGATTACAATTGGCAATTTTTTTTCAATATTATTTTTCCCTTGAAATCGAGCCAATACTTATCCCTCTGACTTACGACGAGCGGTAGATAAGATACATTGACCAAAGAAGCGGGTAGAAGCGAATGCGTGACGTCACGCATGATAAATTGACGGAAGACAATCAAACTGGGCTATCTTCTCTGGGAAGAAGCACCGAAACGCGTTGCTCGATACCCGAGCCGGTTAATGATAGTCGAACGTTCGAAAACCGGTATTGGATATGTACGATGACACGAGCCCTGCCAAGTAGATGTACGTACGCACGTACACGCGTGCGATCGTTAATTCCGCGCAACCCGAAAAATTCAAGTTCGGTAATATCTGGAACGGTAGTAATTATCGATAATTCGAATATCTTCTCGAGGAAGAAGTGTCAGCGAAACGGAGAGGGAGCCAAGAGAAAGTGGCGCTCGGAAAGTGAACGAGGGAAGATACTTGTCGGGTCCGCTTAAACGTACTACTCGGCAGCGGCGCCCTACCGATATAATAATACATACACACACACACACATATATATATATATATATATTATTTCGATATATCGGAGCAGTCGCGAAAATATTATTATACTATTTTATCGTCTCGATGCGAGAGACGTTTAGGCGAGCTTTTAACATAATCCACTCTCACGAGGGATCCTCCGGCCGCTCTATTGGAATTCGGCCGACCTATATGAGCAAGTGGAAAAATCGGCTGCGCGCTCAGATTTACGATACACCACGTTCGTTGTTAATCCAATCCCAATTTAAAGTTGTAATTCAATGTGTACGAACGCTCGTCGCGTCGCCATCCGAGAACGAGTCCTCTCGGAGCTTTCCCTCGGCCACCATGCAAGTTCCTTCGTTCTTGGGAAGCGATATAAGACCCGTCATTGATACTACGATATAAATCGATCGATATCTTTTCTCCAAAGGATAATGTTGTACGTCGGAAGGGTTAATTAGATGGAGTTAGTTAGATGGAGTTTGGGGCATCTTTTCGAATCTAAGAAAAAGATCCATAAGAGATATACGACGAATGGTTTACTTTATAATGATATAAAAAATATCTACGCACGTAAGAGCTCGCGCGTCGCTAATTCTTTTCTTCTTCTTTTCTCTTCTCTACTCTCCTCTTCTTTTTACACTACCGAAGTCTACTGAAGTCAAAATCTTACACCATGCGTTCTTCAGTTTGCCATCATTTTCAAACGCTTTTGCCCTGACAATGCCGGTTAACATTTTTTAAATCTAAGAGTCTTGCGTCAATCTCAAAAAGTTGTCTCTGAATTTTAGTAAAACTATTATTTTTTCTGCTAGGAAAAATCAGAATAATAAGACCAACTTGGCGACAGGTGGGATTATTTATCCCGTAAACACTCGTCGTAAAAAAAAATGCGAATTTGACTATTTATGATCGACGACAATTAAGGAGAGTTTAAAAAATATGTCTCGTGTGTTTAATATTGTACGCAGTCCTTATAAATATTTTCCATTTGAAAGAAAGACGAACGAGCGAATATATTGTTTTCTCCTAGAAGATATCAAACTGGTAGAATATGTATTTAGCATAAATCGGATGACGGCGATTAAACGAGAAAAGTATGGTATTTAAACGTTGCTCGATGCGTCAACGGTTCTCGCGTATCTACCCCATTGGCACAGTCGGTCGAAAACAAGGCGACACGTAAGTACTCGCTATATCGGCCAAAGAGCGAAATGAATTATATATGTCGCATGGTGTGCGTGCACATCCTGTATCGTCCTGGCTGACTCGTCGGGAGACGAGATTCTAATCTTGGGTCGACCAGGCGTGATTGCTCGACGAGTGAGAGAGCGTAATAAAAGCAAGTGAATACATACATTTCACGTGCGTGCGTGCGTGCGTGCGTGCGTGCGTGCGTGCGTGCGTGGGTGCATGCGTGCGTGCGTGCATGCGTGCGGGCGGACAGGCGTCCGTGCGGACGACAACTCTCGAGTTCTCCTAGGGTTGCGTCGTGATCGTAACTATGTAAAAAAAAAGCGATCTCGAGAATTTTCATTATTCTCTATCTCTGCACAGGAACTTGCTCGTATGTTCATCGTTTTTATAAATAAAACTAGGCGAATCGTCCGTAATAAACGATTTTTATGATTAACGGGTACCGACGGGAAACTCTCGCGTGCAAGACGAGATCTATGACGTTTCATGTGATTCCGGAATATATTTAAAATACTGACGTTCGAGATGATAGGTATCGTGAGCGTGCTCACGTTCAAACCGAGTTACTCGTTTAACGGAGACAATAACGTTCGTTCGACGCTTTTATGTGCTTCGCGATTTCTAATCGAATGAAGTTTCCAATTTGAAAAAAGGAGAGTATATATATATATATATATATATATATACATGTACTTGCATACGTATGTATGCTTAAGTATTATATAACGCGAGTCGAGTAACAAAGATAGTTCCAAAGATATTGTCGCATTTTATATACGAATAAAAAAGATTTATGTACCAATGCACTCTCCCTTTTTGTTCAATTATTTCTAAGTATTTATGTTCGTAAGTATTTAGGTAAGCGAAGAAGAAAGGCGAAGGCAAGAATGTACGTGGTCAATTTCAAGGACTAATTAGACTAAAATATTCAACTAGTCAATTCTCTGTGATTACGTCGCGTCGCGTCGTTTAGAACGGTCTGATAGCGAAACGTCGTAAAGAGTTGTCTTTTGGCTGTCTCTTCTTGAAGATTCTCCAATGTAAGAGGGGCGTGAACAATGAAAGAAAGATAACGCTCGAAATATCAGAATATATATTCCTTTTCTGGACATTGTCGAACGACTTTTCCTATCAACAAGGATGAATTTAATTATCGTCAATTCAACGGATATACATACATACATACATACATACATACATACAACATACATACAACATACATACATATATATGTATGTATATAATCTCCTTAAAAAGATTCTTTAACCTCGTTCCAAACAACTGGCTTGAAAAGATACTTGTATTGACCCCATCGTGATTCAAATTTTTCATACATGTATGTATATATATATATATATATTTGAATTTCTTTCTTATCTTCCCGATTATTCGCGATCTGCGTAATTTGTTTGAATTCGATCTTTTCACATTTGGAAGATTTCCTTTGTTATTTTTTGCAAGCCCTGTTTCACTAATTATCATAAGACTCGCGACGAGTGTTACTACCTTGCGATAATATCTGTTTTGCGAGAGTGTTATGGCAACGATTATCATCGTCGCTGTCATACGACATCCAATGCGATATTTACGCAATCGCAATTATTAATCCGCCGACTGAGCATGTTACAAGTGTTTATATATAACTCAATTACGGTTTACAAATAATTACTACGTCGGAAAAATTGTAACAACTGATCAAACACATCAGTATCTGCATAGTTGTAAATGATCGAGCATGATCGAGAAGAAAAATAATAAGACTTTCAAGGTTTCCACGATAACAATCGTCTTCTCGGCCCTTTTATTCGTTCAATTTCATTCGAAAATTAATTCTAATCGCAATTCAATATCATCACGTCGAATAAATCTGTAAAGATTTGCGCGTAACATTCTTGCATAAAACATAGCCCGATAAAATGGCAATTACGAGTCGTCGATTGGTTTGCATAGATAAAGTGTTTAATTAATACAACTCTTGCATTGTTATTACCGGATATGCTAATTATTTATGAGATTAAAAGCACATACACTTTGCCCATTGCGACGTTGCTGGCGCGAAAAGTATATAACACAGGTAAGTACCTACAGAGATATCATACGAGCGGATTTCATCGTTCATGAACCATTGAAAATTTTAATGTAACTTATTATAATTGTTATTATCATTCATTCTGTCGCACGCTACAACCTTCCGACGTTTTTTGCTCTTGCATAATGTACAATACAAACGCGATAAAGTCTCGCTCGAAGAGAGAAAGAGAGAAAACTGTGTTCGTTCCATATTGAATATTTCGAAATCGTCGATTAACGGCTAATAGAGAATCCGTGATAGTTCTAACAAGTACTTGATACTTGACCAATAGCGAGAGAAAAAACAAAGATGTGAATCAAAGAATGTACCGCGCACTTACGTAGCTAGCTAGCTAGCTCGTCCCATACTTAGGTACGTGTGCACTTTCTTAATTAAACTCATCGTGATTGGCACGAGTTCGATACGCTTGGAAAAAAGGGGGAAAAAAAAATTAAACTTGGAACAAAAATCTGGTTGAAAGAGAATGTATCGCTGTTAAAAAATCGACAAAAGCGACGTGTGGCTCCGAGTGAAAAAAAAAAAAAAAAAAAAAAAAAAAAAAACGGAAACGTCCTCGATAAATGGTAATAACGAAACGATTGCGTTATCTGTCCAATGAATATTCATGAAAATCTCGAAATAATCATGAATCGACTGCGATTGATAGGAACGTATTGACATTGCGACGTCGTTAATAGCCCGAAATGTGTGTACTCAAGTGTTTTCGATCGTTTTTCGATTTTAGGATAACTCTTCGGTGAAGTTACGAGTACACGGAAGAATCGAGATATCGAGAAAGCAGAAACCAACGGCACAATGAAACGATACGTACGATACCTTCGAAGGAATGAATTTTCCGAACAAATCTATCTTGTCGCATAATCCGAATATTCTTTATCATATCCAAGCTATATGAATATATACGAAAGCGAGCTATGCTAAGTATTACCAATTGGCGATGACTTGCTTTCCAAACATACATATAATTTTATTCGATAATTATCACAATAATTATTGCCTATCACGTGACTCTTGAAAAAGTCGGGTTTTTCTTTACCTAGTATTTTCTTTTTTTTTTTTTTTTAATATTCTCTTACAGCATCGTGCTTTGTTCCCTACGAAAGATAACTCGATATCATTATTTCTTTTTTCCTTTCCCTTTTTTTTATCTAAACAAGTGACAAATTTACGATGAAGAAGTTTAGAAAAAAATCTCATTTAGAGTACGCATCATAATCAGAAAGAAATTTATTTTCATACTGAAACCTTAATATCGTTCTTTACTTAATGTGCAAAGATTTAAATGTAACCACGACATTTGAACCACTATCATTTCTTCACTAGCTGTTTCATTATTATTCATTTGAACTGCATTATCGCTCATAGACGTTCATTACTCACCACACATCACGTTCCTAATCGCAATCTCAACGGCAACGGCAACGGCAATGGCAGCGGCAACGGGATCAGGGCTATTTCTCTCCACTCATGTATAAACGTTGAACGTTCGTCCAACTTTTAGCTCGCACTCTCTCAGAAAACTCGTAGATACTGTGTTTCCAATGAGCGTGTAAGAGCAGACTTTATCGAATATCCTTTATTCTTTGCGATCCTTTCTTCCGGAGAGAAGCGAGATTCTATAGAGTGTTACCACGTGGTTGACTCAGGTCGGGCAAATTTGTCCGGTCGATTGGGATTGATTCGACGAACCAAGTCGAAAAGGTATAGCGAATAAACACCAAAATTATTATACCATCGAGTGTCGCTTTACTATGTCGCTAAAGGTGCGGCAAAGAAAGCGAGAGAAAGATGTAAAAATTTTTAATGAAAAAATGCCAAATTTTCTTTCAATTTCTTCCTCTCTCTCTCTCTCTCTCTCTCTCTCTCTCTCTCTCTCTCCCCCTTTCTTTTTCCTTTACTCGCCACCCGGTGTCGTCCGCGTGCGCAAGGTCTTGGAGTGTCCTGGCTAAGAGCAGGACCCTGACTGACCCCGGTGTAGTCGCGGAGGGTACGAACGGTCTCGCGTAGTGGCGTGCGCGCCGTGTTGTCGGCCCACCGCGCCGGTAGCTTCCCCTTACCTGGTCGGGTTTCTCTCTTCTCACCTGCGCGCCCGTGCGTGCCTTCATGCGTGTGTACACATATAGATACGTAGACATATAAGCGAATGCTACACGAGTTATTCAAAGACCACGCCCACCACTCCACTACGAGCTTCTCAACGGGACGAGACTTGTAGTAGAGGGGCAGAAAATGTTTCTGTGTGGATGCATCAACGTTTCAGTCGTGTGCGATTAAATGAGTCTCCCTAAACTCGTGCGAAGAGAGAGAGAGAGAGAGAGAGAGAGAAAACGTATCATCGCCTACACAGGATCATTTTCTCAGCGTTCGTGCCAGGAAAGAAGCTGCTCATTCGATGGATCGAAAAGATTCCGCTAGATCATTCTAATTTCTTTTTTTTCTAAGAGTTCTACTTCCAAGAAAGGGTGGGGATATATTTGTATTTGTCTTAATTTAAAATATTTTTTTTTCCTACAACATCGAGTCGTTTCAACATCGTCGAAGAACGTCTAAATAATAGTTAATACTTTTGTTTGTCGGCCGTTCTTTCGATAATACATACACCTATCTATAAATTATGTACTCTCACTCTTTAGCGAATATCATGAGAAAGAAATAAGAGATTAGAAATATCAAATTTGTCGAAGGTAAATTTAACGTGATTTAGGATATTGACCTTAGAGATTATTCATTTTACTCTTTTACTTTTCTTCGAGACTCGCAAGAGAAATTGATTTCGTTTCTAAAGAGGCGGTTGAAAGATGAACGTAATCTTGATGATTAATCTGCTCTGTCGTTTGCGTTAATCGCTTCTTGGTAGGTATTGATTGATTCGAGACGGTATGCAATGACCGTTCAATTACGTTTCAAAAATAACGTAGCGACGGAAGCAAGCACTTCTCGAGATCGTCGACTCATCGAGATTCATCTTGAGCTCTCAATCGACGATATTATGTCGAAGAGAGATATCTCCGGACGGTTAGGGAGATCGAAATCGTGAACGCCGCTGGTAAAAGCCGATCATCGCGGGCAAACGGTTGTCGGTTTCGTCTTGCTTATTACTTAATAACGCTCTACGGTTATTTCTTTGGACGAAACGATTGAATTGTTCCATCGACTGTTCGATTCCTAAATAACATTCGTAAATTTGGCGAATGCATCTCTATAGCGTAGGTTGATAAAATGGTTGACGAAGAAAAGAGACAAAAAAGAAAAAAAAAAAAAAAGAAGAAATAAGAAAAAGACAAAAATTGGAAAGAACTTGTGGCGGATCTATCGGAGAATTCGCGCATCCATCTTGAATACATTTCATCTCGCGAAGCTGATCGGCCCACCAGGCCAATGAGCACGAGCACGAGGCTTTAGAGAGTCTCCGAGAGTGCGCGCGCATTCTAGATCCGCGAGCAGATTTGATTCGGTGCGGCGCGGCGGCGCGAGAAGTAGGAGAGACCAAGTAGGAGTGCGTCGGCGCCGCAACGCACAGCGAAAGAACCGCAGAGACAAGGCCGCCTCCCCGTTACCGGACCGCCTAGTTTTAGATTTAGATCCCACCTTCCTTCGATCGAGCTCCTCTCGTATATATCTTCTCGCCTATATCTAATACCAACACTTATGAAGTATATAAGCAGTCCATTTATTATAATACCACCAGGTAGATAAGTATTTAATTGTTCGCTTACGTACGAACGATCAACGGTCCACCTATTCGAATGGTGCATATTATCGAATTGGTCCTATCGAGTTGGTCCTATTATCGAATTTCATTCGAATTAACGTCTCGGTACGTTACTCGATCTATACTTCGCTTGACATCGATTGAACACTGGTATATATATTTACAAAAGATTTTTTTACACCGATCATCGATCATTGATTTTGCCATTGAAAATTAGCTAATGGTATTATTTGTACGGCCTCGTAAGAAAAGTCGTGATCGTTATTCGCTCGACGAAGATATACACGCCAGAAGCAGTAGCTACACACTCGGACGTAGCCGACACAATACAATACACCGACGAAATTACCATCGCAATGGGACGAGCTGTTGGAAAACTGGGTGAAACAGCTGTGCGAACAATACTCGCGTATAGCTGAGCTCTTTTTCTTGCCCTCTTCCAGCCGTCCAGTATTGCTCATGGTCTAACTCGTTTCATCTGGCTTCTTTCTTCTTCTTCTCCTTCTTCTTCTTCTTCTTCTTCTTCTTCTTCTTCTTCTTCTTCTTCTCTCCTTCTTCCTGTCCTCCTTCTCTCCTTCTTCTTCCTTTTTCACCTCCTTCTTCGAGGTTACTTTACATCGAGGTTACGCGATCCATATGTGTGTAGTTATAGAAGCACTGCAGGTGCACTTACCTACCTGCTGGCCTCGCTTATACTTCATCGTTGACGACAACGGCGACGACAACGTTCGTGAATGATTACGCAAGTTTCACTTATCAAAACTTACCAGGTTGGTTGGTGCTGCCGCATCGTTATCGTTCGATGAAAAGAAGTGCTTATACGTCCGATCGGGATTTGTCAAAGGCCCTTATTGCTTTTCTTAGAAAAAGATTTATTGGAATCGAACAAAATCAATGGCATAAAATTAGCTCTAAATGGAGGCTCCTTACGAAAGAAAAAAAGAACATTCGGTGCTAACCTTTAAAACGTTCTAATCTAACGTTACGTAAATTATCGGTAAACGATCGGTGTTTTTCACATGACGCTTTGAGCTCTTTAACGGACTAAATCAAAGATTTGCGATAATCTTCGTTGCGTTGCGTTGCGTCGCTTCTACAATAAGTGAGTCGTTTCACGCGAGGTAGACGATAAAAGTATGCTCGTCCGTGTGGATCCCTTACTAATAGGAAAGAATTTGCCTCTTTCGAACATCTTGCAAAGACTGTTATTACGTGCACAAAGTCGTTGTATCGTCTAATTATCTACACACACACACACACACACACACACACACACACATATATATATATATATATACATATATATTTATCTATATGTATCTATTAATTGAAATTGTTTAACATCGTTTCTTTCACTGTTCTACGTCGGAGAACCATAAATTATCTAGCAAGGAGCGAGGGAAGATGGAAAGGAAAACGAAATAAATAGAAAGGCAACTTTATGGGAAATATATTTTCATTGTCCGAAGAAATGTGCGAGACGCTACGATTTCGAACGATTTAATGATTTTTTCCTTCGTTGAGTCGCTCGAACACGAAGTATCGAAAAACGCATCGTCGAACGATAAAAAAATTCCCATAAACGAAAGATCATAAGCGTTTCTTTATGCGAAGGACAAAGAATTATAAATGAGAGCAAAGAAGAAAGAAAGTAGAGAAGAAAGAGAAAGAGATTGACTCTCGCCTTTTCTGACATCACACGCACGCTGCTTTTATACATACCTATAGGTACCAATATGTGTACTTAAAAAGATTAAAGGTGGTTAGTATAGAAAAGAAAGAGAACGGCACGAAAGAGAAGTTATCGGTACGCCGCAAAAAAACTTTCTCGCCGTTCGATCGAACGAGAAAGGATACGAGATCGATCTCTCTCTCTCTCTCTCCTCCCTCTCCTCTTCCTATCCATGCCACTCTATCACTCTTTGTCGAAGGAGTCTACAGTTGCACGTAGTGTTTCGCACGAGCGTTTACTTTCACGCATTTCTATGTACTCACTTACTCCGCATGGTCGTTCAACTTTATCAATATATGCTTAGAACGTTTCGTTAATACGTTGTCAGATTTTTATAGTGTTTACTTACGTTTACTTACGTTACGTAATGGTAAGTCTAAAAATGTTTTTTGATTATACTTATCGACTGGGTTATTTCAAAGTTATCCAAGTTGCCTTTTTTCTCTATGAAAAAAAGAAGAAAAAAAAAAAGAAAAGAAAAAAGAAAGAACGTTACATCGATCGTATCCAATATGGAACTTGAAAAGTTTCTAATTCGATCGACCCCTTTTGTTCATCCTTAGGACGAATAAATTCATATCCACCTAAATGTGAATACGTAATTGTGCGAAATTGGACTCCTGCGGATATGAGAAGAAAACAACGTATCTCGTGAGCTATGCGTGATCCAGTTGGCCTGCCCACCTTCCTTCGACGTCTTCGAGATCGACCGACTCGATTCCGGCCCGTTTTCGTAATTCACGGGAAGTTTCGCAATACCCCGAAGAAACGACTGTAAAACGGCCGTAGACGCCCACCGTGCTGATTCTTTGGACTCTTCATCTACCTACACCGAAGGATGACTCTCCCTATAATAGCCGGAAATTACGGCAGGGAGATCACCTTTTGTTCCCTCCTCTTGCTTTCTTTCCTTTTTTATCTTTACGAAGTCTCTCGCCTTCGATAAAGCGACTCGCACGCGCGTCTTCTTTTCTCTTCGGAAAATGATACGAAAAAGATTTCTTTTTCCATAACGCTTGTTCCGAAAACATTTAAACTTGGTCACGTAGAGAGCTTCGTTTCGTTTCCTTAATATCTTATTAATATCTATTCGTTCTAATCATTTATATCATCTCTGCTTTGCAGAGTTAACGTAATCAATGAGAGAAAAAACGATACGTCCTATTCTGCCCAAGTAACCGCTTATTTTACTTATATACCAAAAAGTACCAAAGTGTAAACATTTATATTCTTGTTACGATGATCGCTCGTGCTTAAGACATAATTAACGAAGGATACGGTCTTAATTGCCGCTTAATCATGCTGGAGGAGGGCGCAGAGGTATGAACGCTTAGCCTTTGCTCTTGTTAGCATCGTAGCACGAGCCACGTGCACTTGAGGGAGATGCTCACTCTCCCCCCCTCTCTCTCTCTCTCTCTCTCTCTCTCTCTCTCTCTCTCTCTCCGTCGCTCTATCGTGTAAAAAATATTTCCGTTCGATCGAAGGTTTTAAAATCGGTACGCGAGCGCGATCAAGAAGAAGAGTGATCGTTTTCGAACGAAACTCCAATTGCAGGTGCAAGTAGGAATGTTTAATAAGCGAGGGCTCGAGGAACGAGAGAAGGAATGAGAAGGTGACGGGAGGCTCGACCAAGAAAGGGCCAAGAGGGAGGTTTCACGAAGGAGGGAAGTAATTAATGAGAACGGAGTAATTGCCGGCAGACGGGCGGTCGAGCGGTCGGACGGGCCAAAGATGCTGACACCAAGAACTCAGGAATCCCATGTCGCCTTCACCGTTTCTTGGCCTCGCATTCAGTTGGATCGAAATAAGTCGAAATAGATCGAAAATTATTCAAAAATTTTATGCCGTCGTTAAAAGATAGGTACTAATTAGATATCT